GGCTATTGTGTTTTTGTTGGTGGTAATCTGGTTTCATGGAAGAGTAAGAAGCAAAATGTGGTGCCGCGATCTAGTGCAGAATCTGAGTATAGAGCAATGGCACAAGCTTCGTGTGAGGTTATGTGGGTTTCTCAACTCTTAACTGAGGTCGGTCTTAAAGTCTCAGTTCCAACGAAGCTATGGTGCGATAATCAAGTTGCAATTCATATTGCTTTGAATCCAGTTTTTCATGAACGAACTAAAACATATTGAGATAGACTGTCATTTCGTTCGTGAGAAAATTCAACAAAACTTGATCTCTACAGCATATGTGAAGACTGGAGAACAGTTAGGAGATATCTTTACAAAAGCTCTTAATAGAGCTCGGGTTTCTTATATTTGTAACAAGCTGGGCATGATTGACATCTATGCTCCATCTTGAGGGGGAGTGTTACAAGATTATAGGTTGTAATTATAGGCTGTAAATATGTAGTATTGGCCCAATTAGGAATAGCTTGATTATAGGAATTATTCTTTCTTTGATTTTCTTCCTATTTTAGTATCTACAAGGCTGTATGACTTTCTTCCTTTTTAGTATCTGCAAAGCTGTATGGTTTTCTTCCTTTTTTAGTATCTACAAGGCTGTATATATATGTACTATTTTCTCAATTGAAAGATATCAATTTCTTCCAATTCTTGTTCTATCACAAAGGCCATAAAGACTCTTAAGCCAGCATACCAAGTGAGGATTAGAGGAATAACTAGGAGGTGGTTTCATGTAAATTGTCTCCTTAAGATGCCCATGAAGAAAGCATTCTTAACTATGTACCACCCAGGCACCCAATCTTTTTTACTATGGGAATAGCTAAAAGTAGGGGTGCTCACAATTCGGTTAACCGAACCATGGGCTTTTTTTCAAACAAAATTGGTGGTACTAGTTTTTGGAAAATCGGTAACCAAAGCCAATCGGTTAACTGGTTGATCAGTTCAGTTAACCGCCAGTTCGGATCATTGGTTTTTTGGTTTTTTGATTTTCACAATATTATATATAATAAATATAAATATTATATTAAAAATAATAAATAATATAATATATTACAAAATATATATTTATAATATATAATACATATATATATATATATATTATAATATATAGGTACTATAAAATATACACGAAAAATATATATAATGTACATAAATATGTATATAGCATAAATAAATATATGTATATCAGCCGGTTCAGTTAACTGTTGGTTTTTTATATTGGTTCACTGAAACCAAACCAGTACCTTTTGGTTTTTCCAAAATTCCAAACCAATTGGTTTGGTTAACCGGAATTTTCGGTTCGGTCTTGTCGGTTTGGTTCTGTTTTCGGTTTTTCTTGCTCACTCCTAGCTAAAAGCAATCTAACCATAGTCATTTTTATAACAAGGGGCAAGTGGACCTTGTATCTATCAAGACTACCGTCAAACTTAAGCTTGACTGAATATGCCCAACGACTGCCAATAGTTGAGTCATCAGGGGGAGTAAGAAGTTCCCATGTGTGGAGAATTTATGTCTTGGTGCATAGTATTACTATAGTCCCTGTTGTACATAATTGTTTTATTCTTTGTTTCTTTTCTTTCAGCCCTATATGGATATTCTTGTAAATGTCTTCTTTGAGGGTGGGGGTCAATTCATTATATTGACACCCTTGAAACTGTGTTCTCACTCTATTCGAACTGGTAGAATAACATGGTATCAGAGTAGATTAGTTGATTCAGTTTGAAAACTAGGATTTGGAAGGGTTGCTCAAGGAAATTCCAATCTACCTTCAATCACTGGTTTGAGATCTTTTCTGAAGGCCGTTTCGATCAGCCTAAGGAGTTACAGTTTTCCTGGAAAAGACTCCAAAATGTTGGTAATTTCTTGTTTTCTCTCAATCGACTGATCTGATCAGTCTAAGGCTCCAGAGTTTGTGTCGCCATAGCCCTCTCTTGATGCTAGAGTGATCTGATTGAAGTCCCGACCTGTTTTTAGAAAGGTTTTTATCCTTTCTTAAGATTGACAAGCCCTCTCTTGATGCTAGAGTGATCTGACTGAAGTCCCAATCCTTTACATCTCTACATACTATTCATGGAAAAACCACATAGGATAACGGGAACACCAAAAAGAAAAACTGAGATTTAGGGAGATCAAGATAACAAGGCTGTTGATAGAAATCCAAAAGCACTAAACAAGAAATGAAAGAAGGCTGATCAAGAACAATGAATAAGAATTGTAGAAGAAAAAGGAGGACTGATACATTTAATTTACAGATCCAAAGTTAGAATCATCATCATAAAAATCTTCTTGTTGCTTTGATATCATCTTGTTTTGAGCGAGGTGAGAGAAGTGAAAGAAAAGGAGAGCGATGGTAGAGAGAAGAGGAAACTTACAGCTACAAACCTTGTGCCCATCATGTCTGTCTCTACTCTCTAATGAGAGAGATTCTTTATATAATATTAAAAGTATCCAGAATTACAAAAATAATAATAATTGATCTGATATTGCATTAAAGTCCCCAACTATTAACTTTTTCTTCCTAAAACAATTGCATTCCTCATACAAACTGAATACTGGTATTTAGCATTCATTTCTACAAGCTTAGCTGAGATCAAAGTTTTTATCCATATTTAACAGTTGTTTATAGTTCACCTATATAAAAAAAAAAATCATATAGTTCCCATTTGCAAGTTAATTTGCTATTTGAGTCTGTAGGTTGTATAAGATCTTAAAAGCTTTATTTTGTTGTTCTGCTTTTCAGGTTACTGTGCTTACTGTATATGTATTCCTGTATGGGCGTTTATATATGGTACTCAGTGGTTTGGAAAAGAATATTCTTTTGAATCCAACTGTCCAGCAAAGTAAATCTCTTGAAGCTGCATTGGCTACGCAGTCTGTCTTCCAGCTTGGCCTGCTGCTGGTGCTGCCCATGGTGATGGAAATTGGCCTAGAAAGAGGGTTCCGAACTGCATTGGGTGATTTTATAATTATGCAGCTTCAGCTGGCCTCTGTGTTCTTTACCTTCCAGCTTGGAACAAAAGCACATTATTATGGGAGGACACTACTGCATGGAGGTTCAAAATATAGAGCTACTGGTCGCGGGTTTGTTGTCTTTCATGCCAAGTTTGCTGATAACTATAGGCTATATTCTCGTAGTCACTTTGTAAAGGGGTTGGAACTGACGATTTTGCTGGTAGTGTATGAAGTCTATGGGAAGTCATATCGTATTTCAAGTCAATACTGGTTTGTTACTTACTCCATTTGGTTCTTGGTTGCCTCATGGTTATTTGCTCCTTTTGTTTTCAATCCTTCTGGGTTTGAGTGGCAAAAGACTGTAGATGACTGGACTGACTGGAAAAGGTGGATGGGCAATCGTGGTGGTATTGGGATCCCACAAGATAGAAGTTGGGAATCCTGGTGGGATGGAGAGCAGGATCATTTAAAACACACAGATATCCGTGGGCGAGTGCTTGAAATACTACTGGCATGTCGGTTCTTGATCTACCAATATGGCATTGTCTACCATCTTAATATATCCCATCGTAGCCAGAGTCTTTTGGTATGGTTCTTTTCTGCAATGATGCATGTGCTCTTAGAATACTATGGCCATATAATGCCTAACAGCATTCTTTTTTATATTTAACCTTTCTATTAGGTGTATGGACTTTCTTGGTTGGTAATGGTTACTGTTCTGGTGGTTTTAAAGGTAAGCATACAAGTCTTACATGAAGTTCTTGTGTTTTTAATTTTTATTTTTTGAAATTTAACTTGATTTTACAGCCTGAGCTGTTTGAGAGTTTTCTGTGCATTACACCTTACCATGGGTACGGGGTAGAAGAGTTTAGTATCAAAGACACACAAGGAACTGAATGGGTTGACATGTTACGTGCAGGAAGCTCCCAAACAGCAAAGACGTTTTTTTTCCAAACAGCCTACCTTTTCTCTGAAATATCAGGGTAGAAGGCTATCTATGGTTTAAAAAAATGTTTGTAAACAGTACAATGTCTCTTAGTTTCTAAACTTATTTTATATTTAAATCTTTAGAGTTTTCTTTAGTATAACATGTTTTACATAGCGGAATAATGTCTCCCTTGGAGCCTATATCTTCTCAAGGGTTACCATGGAGAGAGCTGGAAAGAATCTGCCACCAGGGATGAGGTTCTTTTTTTCCTTTAAACCTCTCTATTAGGTGCTTGGACTTTCCTGGTTGGTGATGGTAACTGTTCTGGTGGTTTTGAAAGTAAGCATATAAGTCTCACATCAACTGCTTTCTTTTCATTGGAAATTTAACATGATTTTATAGTTTGTTCTCATGTTATAGTGTCAGACTTGACCCCCAAATATCAGGGTACAAGGCTATCTGTGGTTAAAATTAGTGTTTGTGAACAGTGCAATGCCCCTAGTGTATAGACTTTTATTCATATTTACATATTTAAAGTTTTATTTAGTATAACATGTTTGGCATAGCTGAATAGTGTTCCCCATGGAGCTGTCAGAGTCTGATCTAAGTCTGTAAAATCAGAGGAAGAAAGAGACAGCAACAGATTTGTGGGTGATTGACACCCTAAGAAAAGATATTTATATTAATCTGTAAAAGGACCACAAAGTCCTTAGTGTACAAGAAAAAATAAAATACAAGAAGTAAAATTACAAAAATAGCCTCCTTAGCTAACTCTCTTTATCTCTACAGGAGCCTATATCTTCTCAACAGCACCATGGAGAGATCCTGGAAAGATCTGGCACCAGGGACATGGTTTTTACTTGCCAATAGTTCCACATTCACATGCTCTACAAGTTTAGGCATAGGATAGTTGAACTAGAAGGAATTAGCTTGGTCTGCTTCTTAGTGTCATAAGATTTGGACCGAAGCAGATGATCAGACCCTAAAAACCAGGAATCAGTGACCTTTCCAGGTTCTAGTTAAATAACAGCTTTCACAAGTTGAATGGGCTAACCACCAGGTTAATTGGTAAACATGTGGCCCGTTGAGCATTCCAGTTTTTAGCCCAGTCCAAGTCTTAAAAAATTGGTTTCAAACCCTCCACCTAAGTGCATGGGTGAACATAATTTGACCACATGAATAGAGAAAATGAGTGGGATGGGTGGGTACAACTAATGGAAGTGAACATACTCTATTGGTGTGATATTTTGTGTTTTACTTTTATCCCTTCTGATAATTTCTTTTTCTCATCAGATGGTATCAATGGGTAGACGAAGATTTGGTACCGACTTTCAGCTCATGTTCAGAATCCTCAAGTTGCTTCTCTTCCTTGGCTTCGTGTCTGTCATGACCGTCTTATTTGTAGTCTGTAGCCTCACAATTTCTGATGTATTTGCTGGAATTCTTGGATTTATGCCCACTGGGTGGTCACTTCTACTTGTAAGTGCCATTTTTCACTTTATATGCTCTCCAAGGACAAAGGAGTTATATCACAAGCTACAGTAAAAAATCGTATTACTACTTTGTAAAGCACAATGAATGACACGATGCATTGGTTTGTGCTCACAAGACTTGTCTCCTTTTTGTAGTTAAAAACTCAGTATTCATAAGGGCATTTTAACTGCAAAAAGGAGATAAGTCCTTAAAATAAGGAATGCCAAATGCAGCATTAATCTGGCAGCATGTTAGCAACCTGATAAAAACCAGAGTATTAATTAGAGGAATATTCTTATTGACGTCATTTTGTCTTTTTTGTCCTTTCAAGATTGGGCAAGCATGCAGACCCTGCATGAAGGGAGTTGGTTTCTGGGATTCAATAAAGGAGCTAGCAAGAGCATACGAATATGTGATGGGGATCATAGTCTTCATGCCAATAGTCGTTTTATCATGGTTCCCATTTGTTTCAGAGTTCCAGACACGTTTACTCTTTAACCAAGCATTCAGTAGAGGTCTGCAGATATCTATGATTCTTGCAGGGAGGAAAGATGAAGCATCCACGGAGCTAAGTGACATTAATGCAGAAATCAATGACAGTCTTAGTAAGGCGGTGGCTCACAAGGAAACATCCAAATGAGATTCAGTCTTATTGATGTACATTCATTTCAGTCTCCTTAGAGTGGTTTCATATTCTTTGCAAGCGCAGGCGACATCACATGTTATTTTCGGATCATTGACTCAAGGTGATCAGTATGGTTATTTTCAGATCATTGATGTTACATGGTAGCAAATGCAACTGTAATGTAGTAAACAGGAAGAGAAATTTCATGGTTGAATTTACGGGCAACACTATTTTTAGAATCCATGATATGAATATTTCCTAGACTTGTTCTTTGGCTACCTAATGCAAAGGTTATTTTAGAAAGAAATGATAATATTTAGAATGTCATCCATATTGAATGGAGTTATTGATTGTATTACGTAACTATATCTATATCTATACTACTAATAGTCTTATGTTTTTGGAATTCTCTTGATTAAAATACCCTTCTTTTTAAATGATGGGAGTTGGGCCTTGATTAAAATACCCTTCTTTAGGGATACATCTTACGTGAAGCTAGTTCCTCGTACAGCAGTTGGGCCTTGGAAAGAGTTGTGGAGCATCAATGATCGATTTACCAGTTACCACCACGGATTCTCACATTTCTTTGGACATGCTTAAATCATTGTTTACCAAACAGTGCTAACATGATGGCAAGGCATAATCCCAATAGGGAGGGTCCGAGGCTGGCCATTGAAGAAGGAATCAAATTAATTTGGTTAGAGGGAGATGCACAATAGATTATTAATTTCTTGTTGGACCAATCCTTAGAGATCCCTTGGCGGCTACATCATGTTTTGGCCGATTGCAGGAACCTGTTGCATGATTTTGATCAATATCGCATCTCCTTCATTCATCGTACGAGTAATGTTGTGGCTCATTGTTTGGCCAAACATGCCTGTTCTATTTGAATGTTTCTCCTTCATTTCCTTTACCTGTACTGTTGAAACATTCATTGCAATGAAATTGCCTACAGGCTTATCAAAAAAAAGTCTCACATTTATGGTATTAACTCTCATTTTCCCTCATTGAATTATATATTTAAGGCATTTTTGTTTCTCATCACTAAATTTCACTAATTAAAATTAATAGTTTAATACATAACATTTTTAATAGTTTAAAATCGACCCAGAAACAAAACCATATTTTTGTCTAAGTGGTGGTAAGGAACAAGGTTCAAAGTATCGGAAATACAAGGTGTATTTATTGGAAAGACAATTTTAAGAGATGTATCGGGATACGTTTTGGATACACATGGATACGGACAAAAAATCAAGATACGCATAAATATGTTAGGAAATTCAAATAAATCATAAAAAGATATATTATTAACAATGCTTACAAGTTTTATATGATTGTAAATAAGTCATTTAAATGTAAAAAAATCATAATTTAATGTTTATATAAAATGTGACATATCGAGATATAATTAGTAACTGTTGAAAAAATGCTGGAATAGCTAAAATGTGAAAAAAAAAACAAAAAAAAAAACTAAAACGTGAATGTATATACATCAATTTTCAAATAACCAAAATAATTATCTTAATATTTATTAGTATATAAATTTTAATAATTAACTTCAGCATTTATTAATAAGCACCACTAAGAAAAGGGAAAATTGATTTAAAACTAAAAATGCATATAATTACAACAAACAAATTGGAGTGGTTTAGTGGTGAAATTATGTGCATTAAAATCTAGTGACTATGGTTCATATCTTGCTATTGTTAGTATTTGTAGTTTTTACAGTAAGAAAACGAAATTAATGAGAGAGAATCATTAATTAATAGAACTAATGAGAGAATTATAGTTAGGTGCTAAAATTCAAATTTAAATTTAAACTTGCCTTAAATATAGGAGTAATTAATTAATTAATGAACAAGTTAGACTTAAATATAGGATTTCCCTATTCCCACGGGGATACCCATTCCTTCTAATTTTTTATGATGTCAAATTCACTTCATTTTTTGTTTCTATTTCTACAAAAATAAACAAAAAAAAAATTACTTACAATTTACAAGCCTGTCAAAATCGATCCAAATATATTCAAACATGCTCAATCATATTTTAAAGATATTAACACAAATTCATTAATTAACTCATAAGAAAAACACAAATAGATACCTATGGGGATTTCGAGATAATTAGGGAGTGCTCTCCCCATCCCCGCCCCATTGGAAGCGTGGATCCCTCGAGGGAAAGGGGAAAATTGCTATACCTACACTCAATGCCTTTATATTCAAGTTCTGTTTTGGGAAATATTCACTCTCCCCAAAGGCAAACCATGCCAATTCTGATATTCAGTACTTGGACGCGTTACCCTGCACCATAACAATTTGGTGGTTTCATTTTGATTTTATTTACCTTAAATTAACTAAGAATGCATATTGATACAGAAAGATTCAATTTCAATGCACAATAGCTTTTCTTGGTTGACTTCTGCACTCAAAATTTGCACATGGCAATGTGGGAGGAGAAAAGATGGGCATTAATATGGCAGGGATTGAGTCAAGTGAATGCTTACAATGACTCTCTCTCTCTCTTCATGGCTTTCTGCATTCACTATTCAAAATTTGAGAGAACACTGACTCTGCTGTTTGGATTTTGGAAGCAAATTCCACATTTGGGTCATATGGAGAACCTTTTTTTCTTCCATAGTCTTTTCACAGTAGGATTCAGAAACCCTGAAGAGTGGATGCTAACCACATCTGTGAATGTGTGATAGTGGACATGATCAACATAGAAGAACCACCAGTGCTTGAAGTGCGGAGGTTTAGATAACTTGCAACCCAACAATGAGTGGATGTTGGGCTATTTACTTTTGCATTCACTAGTGTCTAAAAATTTCACTTTGCTATCTGGATTTCCATTTCCCTAATGGGTCATTTGGGTCTATTCATTAGATGACCCACCACCCTACCCTACTACATTATTGATATTTTCCTTGTTATCAATCTTTTCACTATCCGATGGACTCGAATTGATTGGACCAGTTCTGGTTTCAGAAATTGGAACCCATGTGTTGGTTTCAGATCTTGATATAAGTGCTGATTATTATCAGTTTGGAATCGATTCCACCCAGTCCCAAACCGATTCAGACCCAACCTGAGTCATATTCATAAAATACATACATACATACATACATATACATAATTTTTAATATTTAATATATACTAAATATATTTATTTATTTATTATAATCAGGTCCGTCAGATAAGACCTGATTATCCTGAGAACCTATCAATTTGGTTCTGGGTCTGGAAATTAGAGACCCTATTGGGTCCGGTTCAGTTCTGGGTCTCCAATATTTCCTATCTGGTCAATTCCAATTCTAGCTTGTCCCAACCCAGACCCGACCCATTGACAGCCCTACCACAAATCCTTGCAGATGGAGTAGCTTAGGCTGCATTTGGTATTCCTCATTTTAAGGACTTATCTCTTTTTTGCAGTTAAAATACCCCTATAAACAATAAATTTTTAACTGCAGAAAGGAGATAACTCCTTAAAACAAGAAAGGCCAAATGCAGCCTTAGCCATTTACATATTTTTTCCTTCGTTCTCTCCATCTCCCTTGATTTCTCAACAATTAATGGTTAGCTCTCAGGTCTGTACCTTCTTTGAACTAGATACTTGTCTTAACTGAGATGCCAGTGTTCCTTGCCATTTCCCAAGTGTGTCTTATTATCTCTAAAATTCTAAGCTACTACTAAGCTGCTACTATTGTAGCCTCCCGTTAGCTCCAACTGAAAGGCATCAAGTTTGATTTTGATTTCTGGGTATCAAGGATGATTCTATCATCAGACCGTTACAATCCTTCTCTTCCTAAGTTTCTTCCCTTGCAATTATATTTGACATTCATGAACTCAATGGACATTATTAATTACATCATTATCTGAAATAATTGTGGAATTGGGAATGGATTTCCAGAAGACAATATTCTTCCTATTTGTTCAAATTGCAAGATACTTCTTCCTTCACTTTATTATCATTTCTGATGGAGGTAATTCTAGTCCACCATGTTGTCACTGGCCTATCCTCTCTTCTAGGTCCTAGAACCAAGGTTTAAAGTATCGATATGTATCACACTGTATCATATAATACGTATCAGTTTTCAGGGTCATCAATATGTTAAATATAGAGAATTAAAACATTTTAATAGGTAATTAAATATATATGGGCCCATTTTTTTCTTTCTTTTTTTGTTTTGTTTTGTTTTGCTCGAAAGGGCTATATAATGGGGGTAATCCATCCCCCAGACCCATAAACCCCCCAACCCTAGTGCAGGTGGGATTCGAGACAAAGGAAGGATTGTCACAAATCTTTTTCATGCCTTTCTAAACAATTTATCTCTCAACAAGAGACAAAGGAAGCATCTAATTTTAGTAGAACAATCCACATTTCAAAATCATTGAGACATCTTGCTAACTTCAATGTTATCCTCCTTAATCTCGGCAGCAAATTGTGTGGATGACATGACTGTGAACATTCCACTTAATCTAGCTAGCCTTCCACCACATTTTGTCCTCTCATGGAAGATGCTTTTGAGAGTTTGGTAGTATTCCATATCTTGTTTTGCTTTCCTTATCTATGTAGTCTCACACCTTTTCAGTTAAGCCTATATAGCTTGTCTGACCTTCTTAGATGTAAGGATTGGTTATAGACCCTTACAAGATGAGGTTTCTCTCCTTTTTAATTAACCATCTTACTTTTCAAGATAAGGTTCTGCTTGTTCAGTATGCTTCTCCAAGTCCAAGATCAATTCATTGCTTCAGGATTACTTTTTTAAAGCCTGAAAAGGCAAATTTCATTCAAAACTGCTCAATATACAGTCCAAGATACTACAATCAATAAAGAAAAATCTAAACGAAGTAACAAAGAACTATAGAGAAAACCCACCACGAGGCAATGGATCAAACCACTAATCAAGCAGAGAGGAACTACTGGGCACCAGGAAATGAACCCTCTACAAACAGCACAAAAATCTTGGGGATTATCTGAGAGAAATTTGTGTTATTTAAATATTTCTTTTCTAATCAACTCAACCCAATTATTGTGGGAGAAAGTAGAATCGTTGAACCAAGATTTTGGCTATATAGGCACTATCTATATCTATACTCTTAATGCCCAACATACTTTTTAGACTGGATTGCAAACTTCTATCCGACCTATATATTAATGCCATAGCCTTTTATATCTTGGACGCCTCTTTAAAGGAATTTTATTTGGATGATGTTCATAAGTTTGCCTTTGAGAAGCTATAAAACATCTCATGAATTGGGAGATGGCACTTCTTGTTGCTGCTTTAATGAGGATGACTCTAGCTGCTCTACATAAGAGCTTAGGCTTCGAACCACTGAGCATCTATTTTATCCTAGTTAATTAAACCAGTTTCCTTGTTAAAAATGCAAATAAAATGAACCCAAGCATTGAATCTGAACTTCTCTCAGAGCCTACACATTATTTATTTATTTATTTTGAAACACCCGTAGCCAAATTCATTCATCTTGGCTTTTTCTTTTGTAAAAAAAAAAAAAAAAAAAAAAAATCCATTGTTTCACAAGATAGAGATAGACTGGTATTATTGCAAATTTGCAATAGGAGATAGGATTAATTTCTATTAATTCAATATCTTAAGGTCCGTATGGTTTGCAAAAATAGGAGTTCGAAATTGGGATTGGAATGGTCCATTCCAATTCCAACTGTTTGGTTGGGCAAAATCAGAATCCCATTCCCATTCCTAGTGGAATGGCATTCCCCCATTTGTGGGAATGGTCATTCCCTCCCCCTCCCTTGGGAATGAGAATCCATTCCTGCCAATTCTAATTCCGGTTTTGATTCCAGTCAGAACCAGATAGGTGAGGGGAATAGGTCATTATGATTTAGATTCTGAGGGATTCTGATTATTATTCTGATTCCAATTCTGACCGTAAACCAAATGG